TTTATAATGAGTGCTCAACAAACAGCCAGCTCATGACTGTCGAAATCTAAGGAGAATGTTTATGGTAACGAAAATGAGCTTACCTGCAGTACAACCCACGTACGAATTGACTGTTTTGTCGGAACTTTAGGTTTTTCGCTATTTAGGTTCCATCTTCAAGGAAAATACTTGATAGTTATTGATCCGTAAGATGATCCAAGAAATGGTACCTAATTAAACGTGGAATTCTAATACGCATGTGTATAGTGAATTTGGAGCTAGTTTTATCTTCTTTAAATGTAATTTCAAACAACGATGGAAAAGGGCGTTTATAGGCTCCGCGGTCGTTAACATATCCAGTTATTTAATGGTGATTACTTGTGGATTGTGCATTTACGTAATCAGATATTTTTAGAGGTTTCTAACATTCATAAAGGGCGAACACGAAATTCTTGCAACACTTATAACTAGGTTCATCTTTATTTATACTTGGCTGGAATTAACCAAACTTTGCATAGTTTCTCTTTGAAGTGTATTGTTTACATCATGTAAATTGAGTTATTGTCTGTTTAAATGCGGCTAGGAAGAGAGTCAAGTGAATTTATTTATTTATTTATTTATTTGTTTATGTCGTAAATCAATCGTAGACCAATTACAATGAGTGCTTACTAACTTTGTCTTATATATTATTGCCTGGCTAACCTTGGAAAGAATGTTTTTTTAGTGTTATTTTATTCATTGTTACATCAATTGATTGGGAATATGCGTTATAGCAGGACATAATTTTATTCACAGGCCCAGTTTTAGCATAGTCTGTTCTTTTAATGATAATTTAAAACAAATTTCTTATCCTCAGAGAGCGAGTGGGAGCATACAAATTTATATTTTCTAAACTTTCCGGAACATTAACTCTTTAAGCAATAACATCATTTATAAATGTTACTATGGCGAAGTCTCTTCGTTTTTCCAGTGGAAGTGGTAAGCTCGTCCAACCTAATTTTCGAAGGTCAAACAACAAAAACTGTTTTTGAACAGACTCAATGCGGTTTATATATGCACGGATACGGAGCCCACACTACGCTACCGTATTCAAGAAGAGGTCTCACATAGGCCACATACAATGTTTTAATAGTGTAAGGATCATTGAAGTGCAGATTAAATCTTTTATCAAACCCTAGCATGCTACTTGCTTTATATATAATGTTATTGTAGTGATCAAAAAATGACAACTTAGAGTCGAGAATAATGCCTAAGTGCCTTACTTGATTACACCTTTCAACTGTTTTATCGCCAAGAGAAATTGTGTCATTTACTGCGGCATGCTTTCTTGTAAACGATACTATCGTTAAGCTCTAACAAATTCTTCTTGCACCAAGTGTAAAAATGTCAACTTTTTGCTGAAATAGCTGCAGATCAGATGCTTTAGATATTTCTATCAAAAGTTTCATGTCGTCTGCATATATTGAAACATGAAGCAGCTTCAAAATGTATACTATATCATTGACAAATAAGATGAATAGTAGTGGACCAAGATGCAAGCCTTGGGGCACACCAGATGTTACATGAACGACAGACGACAATTTTCCTTCAAATCCTACTCTTTGCGTTCTCCTTGACAAGTATGACTTGATCCATTGCAGTAGCCTTATAATTAAACCTAACTTGGATAACTTGAAAATCAACAGTAGTATATGCACTCTATGTACGTAATTTCCCTTATCCATAACATTTAAAGCATATGTTACAAAATATATCAAATTAGAAGCTGTAGATCGACCTTTAACTAATCCATGTTGTTTACTAGTAATGAGAGATTTAACTTAGGAAAATATGTTGGCATTAATAACGGGCCCTCCCTTAGCTCAGTCGGTAAAGGCGCAGCTACAAAGCAAGACCATGCTGACGGTGGCTGGGTTTAATTTCCCGGTCCGGTCTAGGAATTTTTCGGGTTGGAAAATTTCTCGCCTTCCCTGGGCATAGAAATATGTTTGGACTTGCCACACAATTATACCAATGCAAAAATGGTACAGGCATCGAAAGCTCTCAATTAATAACTGTGGAAGTGCATCTAGAACACTAAGTTGAGAGCACGCAATAAGCTAATATGCGATATGCAATAAGCTTGAAATGCGAAGAAGAAGAAGAATAACAAGTAATTATGGACTCGAAAAGTTTAGGAATGGTAGATAATATAGCAACCAAGCGATAATTTGTGATGTCCGATTTTTCCCGTTTTTAAAAATAGGGACTAAAAATGATTCCTTCCTGATTGGAGTCAGCATTCTGGCGTTTAGCGATGAATTAAACAACCAAAATAAAGGCTTTACTAATTCTTTTGAAAGTGTTTTTAGAAGAATATGTGGTAAACCATCTGTGCGAGCTACCAGTTACGCCAAATCGACGATCAAATGCATTGTTTACAAAAGTTGATACGTCCCTTTGAAAAAGTAATCGAGATTTCACCTTTTTCAAGTCGCATCGACGGTGTATAGTTAACCGGATGTTTGGAGAAGCGATCCTTTGCCACAGCTTCTGATCAGTGGGGAGTAAATGGGAACTTTTGTAATTTTTGTCGCCGTGGTTATGGTTGAAGCAGGATACTTTCCTCTGATTGTTGTTGTTATTGATGTTGTGATTGTTGCGGTGATTTCGCAAGCTAAAGTTGTTGTTGATGTTTTGATGCTTTCTGCTTTGTCGCTTTTGTTGCCTCATCATCAGCCTGTTTTTGTTGATTCGAACGCCTTAATTTCCGCGCATCGCATTCAGACCAATCGGCCTTTCATATTCTCCTCGTACCTAGAAGACGCCACCCTGAGCTATTAGCGTCCTTTTCCTTGTTCAATTCTACCTCCAAACTGAGGTGTAAGTTGGGAGAAGATGGTAGCGATGCAGTATGGTGTGCTATGTTGGCAGACAGCGCACTATGGGGAAAGTGGTGGCCAAAAATCGAAAAATTGACTTGCTTTGAATGACGTATCTTGTAAACCATTTGATAGCCAGATAGTTCAAACCTAGATGTCCAAAATTTCAGCCCTCTGTGATGAAAACTCATTGCGCCACAGACATCAGACTTAGGAAAATTTTGAAAATTGTAGAAAAAATGCATTTGAAACAAATGCAATTTTCTCAGCAAATAACGGTCTAAACATTGAATTTAATACACCGTTGGAAAGCTAATTGTCTAAACTTTAAAATGGGTATGTTGATAAGGTTACACGGTTAATTAAAATTGGTAAAAAATGGGCAATTATTGAAAAAAAAAATGTTTTTTTGCCTAAGTTGGACTATATCTAACGAGCAGGGCCGAGCAGTCTCAAGAGACCACCACTACGTTTTAGTTTAGGGTCTATACTATCTAAGGAACAAGGATCCAGCTGCGTATAGCTGCATATGAGCGTCATTTTGGCACAAAGTCGTAAAAATTATTTCTAAATGTTTTTTTTTGTTAATTACATGTATCGATTATACGAGCATTAACCAAAAAAATCGTACAAATTAAACACTGGTTGAAAAGTGGAACTGTTAAATGTCAAATTTGGTCTTAAAAATGCTACACACTTAATTATTATTGTTGTTAAAAATGGGTAAAAACAGACCGAAAATTATCATTACATATAGAAACCGTATCTACCCAACTGGACTAAAAAGTTTTCAATGTTTTCACGATAACCTTTTGATATTTTCAATACATAATAACCAACGGAAAAAGAAACACCACTACCAAAAGGAAATTACCTGTTCGAGTGCCATTGTACAATTTCTACCCACTAAACTTAGGTAAAACTATTATTGATGTTACCTACTTGCATTTAAAAGACGAGGACAATATTTTCAAATCATGAGTTTGTTTTCGGCTTTAACGCTAACAACGTGTGTGTGCTAACAACAATATTGTGCAGTAGTTTAATCAAAAATCTGAAAACAATTGTTTGTGATAATATGGATCATAGGAGCATCGTGTTACTTTTTGATCCAAACGAATCTCAAGTAGTCAATGCAACAAAAGCATTTGAATATATCAAGAAAAAATATAATATTGATCTTGCCAAAGAAGAACAACTTCTTAAAAAGTTGAAGTACGTAGCACAACGTTTTTACAATGCGTGGCAAAAGGCTCACCGCCTACAAGAGCGCTTTGAGAAATACAATAAGGATTGGCTCGATAGTCATTTGGAACTTGCAGAGTACATCGCAGAAACACCTTCAACGTCAACTGGCCATGATGGACGCGGACGTCCACAAAACAGCTTGATGAGCTTAGTGATAGAAGTAAGCGAAGGAAAACCGATGAAATATTTGGCGGTAATGTTGGCACTATAGAAAGGGCTCTGATGTCACCTGAAGAGGCGTTCGAATATTTTTTAGACTGCGATTTTTCTAAATATGCATATGAGCAAACAGTGAAAAAGAACCCATCAAGATTTCCGAGCTACAATGTAATTAAGAGTATGAAAAAAGTATGCTCACCTTCAGCCGAGTCAATCGAAGAGTCATCATCAAAAATTCAGGTAGACATAAATATCCACATATTTTTCCAGTACACCAACTTTAAATGTTTCTTTCTTTTCAGGTCAAATTACAGGCACTCATGAATCATACAACAGAAAGAATCATTCAAATCATCGATTCGGAAATCGTCCAACAAATGAATATCAACGATGACACAGAGCTAGTGCTTTTAAACAGCTGGGGTATGGATGGCTCAACAGGCTATTCACAATACAACCAAGCGCTATCAACGCCAAATCAAAAAGATGACAGTGACGTCTTTTCAGTGACAACTACTCCTATACAACTTTATTATAAGAACAACAAGAAAAACATTTTGTGGCATACTTTAACACCCCAAAGCATTCGGTTCTGTAGGTCAATTATGCTGGAATTTATCAAAGAGTCAAAAGAGATGGTGCTTAACACCAAGATATATATTGAAAATCAAATAAGTCAGCTTGTTCCAGTAAAAATCCAATTATCGAATGGTGAATATGTTTTGGTCGATTTTATTTTCGTTATGAGTATGATCGACGGCAAAGTTCTTAATTATGTAACTGATACTTCTTCCATGTCCAACTGTCCAATTTGTGGAGCTACTCCGAATGCAATGAGTGATATAGAGGTAATATTTTTTTTTCAAATTTAAGGGCCATAAGAATAACAATGTTTTTTTTTATACTTTACAGAAGTTTGAAGCAGGATACGATTCGAACGAAGATGCTCTGCATTACGGCATATCTCCACTGCACGCTTGGATGCGATTTTTTGAGTGTTTATTACATATTTACTGTAGGATGGAAATTAAAACGTGGAAGATCACGAAGGATTTAAAGGCCAAATATCTTGAACGGAAAAAACTCGTTACTCAAAAAATGTACGAAGCGTTCGGAGTACGAGTTGATCAACCCAGGGCAGGCGGAGCTGGGACCAGTACAACAGGAAATGTGTGTCGAAAAGCATTTTCAACTCCTGAATTACTTTCCAAAGTTTTGGATATCGACGAAGAGCTTATTATTAGATTTCGTAATATTTTAATAGTAATCAATTACCAAGACCCGATCAATCCTAAAAAAAATGGATGACTATTGTAAGGAAACATATCGGCGGTATCTTAATTTGTATGATTGGTATAAAATTCCAGCAACAGTGTATAAAGTACTCGCTCACGCTGGAAGCATAATAATCCATTCACCTGCTCCTCTTGGCATGTTAGCTGAGGAAGCAGCAGAGTGCCAACATAAACTACTAAAAAAATGTCGTACCCATCATGCTAGGAAAAGGTCACGAGTTGACCCAGACAACCAGAATGCACGTATATTCAAAGTTGTTTTCGTGATATTCAAACATATATACAAACAAACAAGTTATATAGAATGCAAAGAAATGGCTTATACGTACAAAAGTGGAGGCCATATACGTGCATATTTTTGTTTGATTTTAAACGAGTTGATTTAACATCATATGCAATTTGATCTGTAATAACAAATCCATTTTGAAAAGTCTTACGATGTAATCCGATTAAATTTGTGATACAGTACGACGGAAAAATGAGTCATCGCATATATGTAAGTCGGAAATTTGCATTCTATACGATTTAACTTAAACATAATGCGAGGTATGCCATTCTAATATGCGATTTTGACTTAAACTGTAGCAATTTACGATACTGTCTGTACATTGTTATACGACTTCTGGTTGTCTGGGGATAATCTACATGACGTCTTTATTCGAGCTATGAACTCATCTGATCCTTTGATAAGTTCAATAAATCTAGGTAATAGAATCCGAAAGCAGGTATCACTTGAATATCCAGATGTTGTGAAATCACTTTTAGTATTCGAAGATCTGGACAGCTCTGAAAATATAAACACTGAAGGCAATGCACTAGATGCATTAATGGATGATGTTGAACAACTGGATGATAATTTTGGTCTTGATGAAAATGTAGAAAATGAGTAGAATTGCTTGTGAATTTAATTAAGTTTTAGGAGAAAGTTATTAAATAAATTTTATTATGACAATTAGTCAAAGAAAATTATGTTTTATTTTGTAGTATATTCATCCCTGCAGTATAAAAAATGTAGTTCAACTTAGTTAACGATGTTGATATGTGTTCAGTAAAAATAATGGAAACATAGTAAAAAAAAATGATCCTTTCGACTAGCTTTAATGATTTATTTCTCGCCTTGAGTATCATAACGACATAACTGCATTGATCGATTTGTCTTCATCGATTTTCTCTTTTGTTAATAACTTGACCAAATCGAAGCTGATCGACGTGATTTTTTTACTGACGGAAAAGGATCATAACCAGTGCTGCAAAATTTCGACTCTAAAAACTGATAATAACAAAACAACCCTGGTCACTCATTTCAGCAGAGAGTCACCATCAGTAGCAATCAATATCAATTGTCAGTGATATTACTATCAGTGACGACGATGTGCAGTTTTTTCATTTGCTGAATTACTATCGAAATCAAATTAATTTAGCAAAACAGTTACATAGAACCAGCAAAGTGAATACGAATCATCATCATTATCAGCCTGGAGAACAATAATGTGACACAGAATGCGCAAATTCACAGTTTTTTCACCAAGGGAATCTTTGTCACTGACAAAGAAAAGAGTGAGATTTTGACAAAGGAAATTTTGATTTTCAGTTCTATCAGTGTTGCTGCTGAAATGAATTTTGTCTATATCCACTGAAGTTTTCTCAATGAAAATGACAAATCGCAGCACTGATCATAACATCTTGCCACAGTCCAAAAATTGCGTCGATCGGTTTCGGTTTGACCAAGTTATTAACGAAAGAGAAAATCGATCAATGCAGATACGCCCTTATGATGCTAAAGGCGAGATTTGGATGGAAACAATATTTTCAGTAGAGGGGAGGTTCGATAGACAAATAATTCTTCATCAAAATACCTGATTGGTAAAACAATACTCTTATATCACATATATAAAAAAAATGGGGGAGGGGTCAGGTCTTGGCTAGGAGGGGGGGGGGGGTTCCACCTCCACCTTTCCTATTTAATCTTATGCACAGCAACCTTATTCTAGTTTTGATTTGCATTTGAACTGTCCCTAAAATTAAAAACAAACTTTCAAGTTTATTGTTCAGGAATAAGTAGCTCATTACTGGGTTTAATACTAGTTACACCTTCCGGATGCGATGAAAATACATAAATATGACTAATTTTATGCTTAACTTACTATAATACCATCAAAAAGTGCGGAGAAACCAATAAAATATTTTTGGCCACCACTTTGTATGGAGCCGCCCCATAGTGCAGCGCCTTCACCTCATCGAGTATTTCAAGCTCCAACATTGAATTAGTTTGAATTGTGCAACTTGCCGTGGTATCTAAAGAGAGCTGGGTGAGATGGCTAATCTCATCATTTAAGTTACGTAGGTCAGTTGATAACACTGACGTCATCGATTTGACCACCACATTAACATTCTCCTTTGTTGACATCGTTGCAGTATCAAGTAGCGAGGTAAATGTGATTTCTATATCGGGGTACACTTCGTGAAAATCGAAAATGGAACATGTAACAAGATTTTGAACGTTAATAACTCAGCTGTCACTGGATCAATTTCAATAATTTTATCACCAATAGATCAGAAATATTTCTACGCGTCTGGTAGTGCTGTGTGTGAGTGGTGGTGTTATCCAGTACACAACGAAAGGCTGCCTGCAAGCAACAAGCTGCAGCCCACATGAGCATCCATAGAAGGAGGATGAAGCCGCACCGCTATCGATCGGAATCAGTAGCTCTTCGTGAGTTGCTGTGGGCCATCTATGTCAAGCACGTCATACTATAGAGTAGAAACAGAGAGAACCCCGCTCAAATTCCTATTCCTACACAAAACACAAGCTCCTGCTGCAGATAACAAATAACATTTATTATATAAGACCACGTGGTCCTACGTCACCATTGCGTACAACCCCGTAGGGTTGTCCATTGTAGTTTTTTATGGCAACGATACTGCCAGCTGAACTGTTACTTTTATTAATTGTGGCCAACTCATTTTTCATACTTGTCAGCAAAAGTTCTATGCCATCGATCGCTTCATGGACGAGGTTCGGTTTTTCTTGTTGAAACGTGAGTCGGTGCATCACCTCCGCATTGGCATTCAGTTTCTTTTTGATCGGTTTTTGCTGTTCAACAATGCTTTTAAAATCGAGTTTTGCCTGTAAAAGCTCTTTACAGGACTCGCAGCATGGTAGTACGTAATATGTAAAGTCCGATACCTTTCTGTCCTTCTTGCGAAGTGAGTTCCGTTGTACAGTTCCTCCAATGCAGGTAGCATGGAACATTCTTGCGCAACCTGCACACGTCCACATGACCGAGTCGACAGAAGTGTCGCAAGCACAAATTTCGCAAACCATGATGTATGCAAGTAAAAATAACTGAATCACAAAAGGTAAAAAAAAATCGCACCTATTAAAAAAGAGGAGCCAAATAAAAGTACATTGGAACTTATCGACGATCGAGTTATGGACGTGTGAACAAATGTTTTGCACTCATTTGGAAAATCTGTAGCTGTCCCACCGTGCTCTAGGAAAAATACTGCGTATCAATAATTCAACCGTATCAAGAGTTATAAACAGGTTCCCGTAGGGAAAAGTGAAGGGTAATTTCACCAGAAATCCCAACATTTCAACAAGTGATGTTTCCGAAAAGGTCGGTATTTCGCAAAGTTATGTGCAGAAGGTCCAGGCAAGAGCTGGATTACGAATACACCGATCAACAAATTTCGAACGTTAAAACCCATTTTTTTTTTGTGGATGACAATAATTACTCAGGAAAATGTTTCGTTTTGAATGATGAAAGTTACTTTCGTCTCTCAAAATCTCACATTTCTGGAAATTATCGATATTATTCCGATAATAGTTGTAAGCTTCAAATTCAAATACAACTTTGAACAGAAAGTGATGCTGTATACCACCATATCAGAGAGAAATTTCTAAGCCATGGTTCAAGCCTAGCGGTTTGATTCCATTTCTTCAAAAATATCACGCAGACGAAAACAACGTGTTTTGGCCGAATGAAGCATCATCGCACTATGTAAAGAAAACACTAACCATCTTGGAAAATCTAAATAACCCGTATGTACCAAAAACCCGCAATCCAACAAACTTGTCTCAGTGTCGCCCAATTGAAGATTTTTTTTTTTTTAATATAAGTTCGTTGGTGTGTGAAAACAATTGGAGGGCCAAGAATTATAATCAGCTGATAAACCGAATCAAAAGTTGCATTCGTAAAAACGATTTAAATGCTGTACAGTGCTCATGTTCTCACATCATGATAACGGGCCCTATTCAAATTAATTTTTGTAGAAACGTTTCGTAGCTTCATTTAAAATAAATCACTTTTTCTTTTCTAAAACATGTGTTTCTTATGAGCCCAAATGAAAATTCTCAGTTTTAAGTTATGACCCGTTATATATCGCGGAAATTTACATGATTGTATCCAACGGTGTGTGTGAAGATACTAAATATAAAGAAAGAAACAAGCTCTCTTGTACATCTCAAGTAACATTGCAAGTTTTAACGTGGTTTTAAAGCATTCTACATATCTAAATCATAGTCTACATAACACTCATATAACCAAAAATGTTACTAGGGATACTATTGTACAATACGTACCCACTGCACATGTCAGATTCATTGTGAAATGTATAATTTCATGAAACTGTAGATAGAATATGAAGTAGTTGTTAAACACCTTTCGTTAAGTATTTCTATTTAAATGTCTTCCTGAGCAAATACCGATATCCTCAATGTGCAGTAATCAGTTCCACGCTTCAAAACGAAAAGTTCTTTCCGCATAGCTGTTCATTATCCTATAGTGCTTCAGTACTCATCCCCAACCCAATCAATTTCCGCACTGCGTGTGGTCATTATTAAGCAACCACGAAACGCAACCAGCCTCATCGTTCGATGGTTGGACGCGACCCACACACGATTCTGCCAAATTTCCTTAACGATTATTGGCATCATAATAGACTGCAGTGG